CTCGAGAGGCCAATTCCATGCGTTCATTCACAACTCAACGTGATTGAATGATTAATATCAATAGGCTGTAAAGCGTCACACAGTGTAATCATCTCTGCAACATTCCCAGGTAGACATGGACTAACAGCATTAATCATCTGAAATTCAAAAGAAATAGATATTTGAATTGATTTCAATTTTCAACAACATAATGGGCTTTAGAGGCCCAAACCAGGAACCAGTGCATGAACCTCATAAAATCCTGTAGGGTGAGGCTGGCTGCGCTTGCTTGAACGTGGGAGCCATTGCTAGTTTGCTTAGCAATTGAATTCCAAGCCCCTCGAGAATCGAAATCTGTACAAGTTGGGGGGATGCAAGCGGCAAGCCCAGCTTCTCAGTCATTCTACTCAAAGTTGCAAACCATTAGTCGTCCCTGAATTCGAGCTGCCATGGTCAGATTGTTTGACCAAACGCTTCGGAATCATCAAATCAAATGGAGTAATGGGGGTCCAGTTCCTGAAGTGGGGGCCTCAGGCCTCTCAACCCTTGCATATTAAGAAATAGGAAATCAATAAACAAAACAGGAGTATTCTCCCTTGTCCACTAGTTGTTCCACTCTAAGTACCTCCAGCTTCACGTCTGCAACTGTTCAAGACTGTGTATCTACCCAATGTGTTTGTTTAAATGCATAAAATAAACTAGTATAGGATCATGCGTAGGAGCCGCACGCGCATGGAAGACAGAGACTCTGACTCTGTACACACACACACCCACTCACCTTTATTAGGACACAAAGACTTGATTATTAAGAAGTTGGGGGTTGGTATTAAAGTATGTGTGGAGAGTGGAGAGTGGATACCCAGCCGAGTCCCTTCTCGATGCTGTTGTCTTTCAGTCAGGCCTTCTTGGATCTCTCTCATCTCATGCGTCCATCATGATTCACAGAGTTCTTCATTTTTTTTTTTTTCTAAGAATTAAACATTCCTGGAGCAGCCTCACTAAACCCAACATACCCACATTCATGCATGAAGGACATGTAAGTAATGTAAGGCTTAAAGTGTTCAATTTGTCATACTGTCAAGGACATTTGGTGTCGCAAATGCTAGACAGGTGCGTACCCCCAAGCGCCGCGTGCTCCTGGGCCTGGGGGCTTGCCTTCGGCTGCTTCAGTCAGGCTCTCTTATAAAAGTAGACATTCGCATTGGCTGGTAGGGTAATGGGCCTAAATTTTAGGCCATGACCCATGACCTGTTTTGCCTTAGAAACTCAAGTTTTTAACTAATAAAACTGAACCACCCTGTTCTGCTCTGATATTATTATTAGTAACCCAGTCCAACTCCGTTGTCTCTACTTAAGAGGAAGGAAAAGATGGGTTTTGGGCGAGAGTACTACTAGGCTTGGCCCATGAGGCATGAACAACAAACAGCATCTTCTTCAATGGATTTTGATTTACATTGCTTCAACTATTTTCATGGTTTATCTAGCTAGTGTAAATCCCAATGACAACTTGTTAAAAAGTAAAAATTCTGGTGTTTTCTTTTAATGTAAAAAGTAGCTTTTGAACATAACCAATGACGACATGAGGACTTAGTCATATTCAAGCAATTTATTAGAAGGATTACAAGTGTATGTTTATTGTTTAGATAGTTATAATTAAGGAATCTTAAAGTTTGAATTTGTGCCCAATGTTCTTAAATCTTATTTTCCGCTAAAAGCAACAGCCAAAAGGAGGTTTTGGTTGCTTACACTTTTGGAGAGAAAAAATAAATAAACAAATAAAACAAAAGCGGCTCTATTTTCCAAAGAAGTAATTATGTGTTTGAATTGGCAAACACAACTAAAAATGGATAATGCTTCAAATCAACCCTACCCCAAGTCTAAACAGTTTGGAAATGACTGTCTTATATAACATGTGCATGGCATATTACTATGGTATTAATTAGCTGCATTGATTTACCCCAAAAGCTCCATAGACTCCACCATGTGCACAAAGTCAAAAGCAGCTCTTAAAAGTGTTTTCTAGACTTCCAAATGAAGAATGAAGCTGATGTGGACTTGCAGAGTTTTAACACATGGGCTATAATGGTCTGGAATTCTGGATGTTGACCACGTCATCTCTCTATTTGCCTTCAGAAGGGGTGGTTGGTCCCAGCCAATTCTTACTTGCAGTGGCTCCCTTTGAATGATGATTCAGCAAGCACATGCTCATGTGCAAATGAGCTTTCCTCAATTTGCAATCAAACATCCACGTACCATGCTCATGTGTAAATAAGCTTTTGTGATTATTAAGAGGCAGTGTAAATTGAACAATTCAAATCAAATGTTTGAGAAAATGCATATTTAACTTTTATGCATTGCATGCATTTTAGCAAATGAAATCACAAAATATTATGGCTGTGTTTGGTTGCAGTACAAATTTATTTGCATTAGTACAAATGTATGAGAATATAAATGAAAAAATATGTAAATTCTTATTTAATTTTGTTTTGGGTTTTACTTTATTCTGTTCCATATCTTAATTTACTTCATTTGTACTATAATCAAACAAAATAAATTAAACTTTGAAACAAAAATAGGTCAGAATTTACACTCAAATCATTTACACTGCCATAATTTTGCAGCAGTATAAATTTATTTGCATTGCAACCAAACACAACCTAACGAGTAAAACCATGGCTTGAAAAGCATGAGAACATGGGTTCAAATTTATAGGCGCAGTTTCTTTGTGCATACAAATGCCAAAGGTCAGGACCATATACGTACCCAATATATATCTACCCCTCCCAAGACCTCATATGGCTGGGATCAACATTGAGCAAAGACCTTTATTTACTATCTGCTTACACTTTACATTGGACCAGCATACCCAAGAGGTAAAAAATTTGAGGATCAGTGGCCTAATAGCTACAGAGGATTCACAGTTTCACATTGAGAAAGATTGATAGAGAGAGAGAGAAGGGAGGGGGTTAATAAGAGCTAGTTTATGCTAAAAGAGAAAATATGGGCTTGAGCTTAATGTCTTGTATATACCGTGTTTTTGGTACCATTTTTTGAAATTAATTGAATTGATTATTCATTATTGAATCAACTCTTTTGCGTTGTAACATTTGAGAAGGATTGCAGTATATATCTTTTTGGCTAGGCAAATGGGTCATACAATGTGACAATCCTCTACCACCCTGAAACTCTCCAATCTTGCTGATGGCAGAATTTGATCAGAAGTCTCCATTACAACCATTGAATGTTGTAATCCATCTTCAATTCCCCAAAGCTAGCTGGCACCAATTGGACTGTTGTATTGTTTATAGAATCATAAATGAGAATACATACAATGAGTAGTTTTCATTTTACAAGATGAAGACATGATATATTTATGAGCTGTAGGCTGTAGCTATCAGAAGTTCAGAACATATAAGGGATTAGAATAGAATTAGGTCAAAATTTTAATATAAACTTGTGGCTTATCTAATCCATACCCACAAACTCAATGCAGTCAGTCTCAAACAAATGAACAAGCTTAGGCATTTCTAGTGCCTGCCATATGTACAGTTTGATTCTGAAATAAACAGTGCCTCACCAACTTTCTCATACCTGCCATTTGAATGATGCTGCCACTTGCCAGGTACCAATCAGATAGAGAGGGAGAGAGAATTAAATATTTAAATTTAGCTTCTGGTACCCATTTAAATCAACGGAAAAGTATGGATTTATCCAATGCAGATTTCTGATTTACATCAAATGGACCGATTCTATACACTCTTATGTATCAATGCTGGCCCGTAAATTAGTATCAATTCCCATCTGGCACCTATCCCAACCGTACATTAAACTTACAAATTTTGATACAGGGGGTATCAGTCATTCTCCCTTTAATCAAATTGTTTCCAACCAAATAAAAAGATTTATTTATTTATTTTCTTCTGGTGGAATTGGCTCATATGGGAATAAATGAGATTTGAAAAGAAAGGATTAATTCATTGGATTGTAATCTTTAGTTGTGGTGGGGAAATTGAAGATTGATTATACCAGGTAGCATGTCTGCAAATTTTCAGAATTTGAACTCTGAAGGCCATTAAATCATATCCAGGACATCCATACCAATTCAAGCTGTTTAATTAACTGGACGTCGTCGGCAAGCCTGGAATAAACAACAATCAAGAAACAGCATCTCTTCTCTTCTCTTCTCTACTCCTTCCTTCGTGCTGTCTCCATCCCCAAACGAAGAAGCACTCGTCATCTGTACGAAGGGTAAGCTTTTACGAGTTGAAGAAGAGGCCCATCACATCTCCCATACGTCTCCATCCCTCGTATAAAAGCCCAGCCCAATCAAGTCTATTTCTTCTGTTTTCTTTTCTACATAATAAATGCAATGATTCCAACTGTACTAACCAACGATCTCTTCACACACTCTCTCTCTTTCTGTGTGTCTGAGTCTGACATCCAGTATGTGGTCCCACTCCCACTGACATCTTCAGCGCTGAACCGGCGTCAGGATGTTATGATCCTCGAAATTCGCCTCTACAAAAAAGAACTAAATCACAAAAAGGCCACTTTTGGACACCTTCTATTCCAAGCCAACACTTGCTACATACTGACACCGTTTCGCTCCCCTCATTTTCCGGTACCATTGCTTAGCTGTAAGTAACACCATTCCACAGCTCCACTCACATCCAAATCTAGACCCATAGGCTGCGTTTGGTTGCAATGCAAATGTAAACATGTACATTATATATTTATCCATTTTTTGGTTCATGAATATAAATACGATTCATATTTTAAATTGTTTTTGCATTCATGTTGTTTGTTTAAAATGGGTGTAAAGATGTGAGTTTATCATTAACTGTTCCAACTATCTTATTCTTTAATATTTCAACTTTAATCAAAAAATTAATTATCAAATAAATATAAATTTGTATCCAAAAAATAGGTACAATAATGGTCTTTTACAAAAATGTCAGAAAATGCAATTTTACTTTGATAATACTTTTTTACATTTAAAACAAATGCTCCAGGTGCATAAATACCCCCGTTCAGCATTTGTATCGCAAACAAACGCAGCCTAAAGGAAATTATCTGGTTTGGTTTTGGCATGCGGATTGAACCGGATCTAAACTGGACCGAAGCCAAAGGTCCATTTGGAAAGTCTGGATCTGCTCCTCACAACGGAGCGCCTCAAACCGTCCTCACAAGAGTTGGTTGCGCCACGCATCTCCGGGGTCGTGTGGGAGCAAAACACGAGCGGAGGGGGGAGCATGCGTCATTAACTGTAGCAATCACATTCACCCCCGCATCTCGCATCTGCTCTGTTCAGGTAAAGACTGAAAGCCCTCGTCCCTCCCTCCACCGGTTGCAATCACATCTCCGGCGGTCACCAATGAGACGAGACTCGTGCGGTTCTGTTTTTTATTTTCTTTTTTTACCTGTCCAAATCTCTCACCCCTGTTCTTTTCTCTTCACGAAGGATTCAAACCCTTTTTTTCTTCAGGTCATGACCCAAACCTCTCATCTCTCCGGCAGGAATTAGTCTCACCGGCGAGAATAGACACCGACGAATCAAATCTACGTAAATCTCTCCCAAAATCCTAAGAATAAAAGGCAGTTGAGAAATCTCTCTCACGTTGGGGTTTTTTGTTTTTCTCTTTTTCAACTATAGAGTACTCCCATTGACTACTATTTCCAGAATCTCATCTCGCAAATGACCGCCGAAAATATGATTGCAACCAGTGGAGGGACGGACGGAGGGAGGGAGGACTTTAGTCCTGATATTAAGAAGTAGAAACTTTATTACCCATCACCTTTCAAAGACGCAGCACACCTATCCTGTTGCACTTCTATGTAGCCACACCAAAGCACACATTCATATAAGAATTGAGATTTCAGGCAACCCACTTAACCCAATACAGTGTCTTCTCTTCCGTATTGCTTTTTCTCTCGATTATTAAGCTATTTCTCTCAGTCATGTTGGCACCGTGGATGTAAAGACCTTCCAGCTTTGTTGTAGGCGTTGTTGTTTGTGGGTTTGTGTTGTTTTTGACGGTAGCTATTGGGTTTGAAAGAAAGGTTGGAGGAAGAATTGAAATCTAAGATGTGAAGGAATTTAACAGAAGTCAAAAAAAGAAGAGCGAATCAGAGACAATGTCTATCTAGTGTTCTTAGAGAGGTTATGAGAAGAGAGACAAATGATGTCGGGATTAAAGTACTATTTGAACATCGAAGCTTTAGACGAAGAAGGGTATGAATGTTTTGGGCGCCAAATGCAACCCTCCGCTCGTGTTTTGCTCTCACACGAACCCAGGACGCGTGGCTCAACCAGCCGATGTGAGGACGGTCTGAGGCGCCCCATTGTGAGGAGCAGATCCGGACTCCCATTTGGGAGGGCCAAGTGGCTTTTGGGGTGGTGTGGCGGCCAGGACTCAGGAGGAAAGGGCTGATGATTCTGACAGCTGAGTAGGATGAAAATTAACAAAAGAAAAAAACGAAAAATGAAAAAATAGTGGGTTGGGTTAGGGTGGAGAGAGAAAGGAAGCGCAAGAAATCAAGTTTGAAGAGTGGGGAAGAAGTTGGGGAAGGAAAACTACTCCTCCAAGAAGCGATTCACGATCTTCACGCTCGGTCCCAATAACTCCTCCTCCCAAATTTCTGACGACTTGCCGGTATCTGACGCTAATACCGCCCGGAACGCCTCCGTGGCGTCTAACCGCCGTAAGTCCCACCCGGCCGATCTCAGCCGCATGATCTTTTTCAACTGTCTCTTCGCTAGCTGATTTGTGTTGTCCTTGATTGCTTTTACCGCCTCCTCGAAAAGCTCCCGCCTAGCCCCATCTCTCTCGATGTCCGTGCTTCTAAAATGTCCTCCCGGCGGGAACTTCCGAAAATATCTGTCGAACTCCGGTACGCCGATTGCCTTCCTTATCCCCACCTGGTCGCGCTTTGGGTCTGACTCCGCCTCCGGATCGTAAAACTCGGCTAACTCCTCAACCATACCTGCGGCGAGCATGTCGTCCACCCGCTGGGACAGGTACTCGTATAGAACTGTTAATGACACATCCACCCAAAGAAAGCAGCAGTTGTAACGTAAATCGGCGGAGACCGAGTTTAATCCATCTGAATCTGGATTGAATCGATCCGAGAGTAGTGCGTAAATGAACGAATTCGAGCCACCCACAACTAGGGGTAATCGGCGGCGAGCACAGATAGAAGATATGACAGAGGCGCCGAATAGGCGATAGTCGGAAGGCGAGAACTCCCCATAGGACGAGTCGACCACCCCGAGGAGGTGGTGGGGAACGCCGAGACGCTCGTGCATTGGCATCTTGTTGGTGGTAATGTCGAGACCTTTGTAGACTTGCATTTTGTCGGAGTTGATGACCTCGGCGGGGAATCGAGTAGCAAGGTCGATGGAGAGGCGAGATTTGCCCGAACCGGTTACGCCCATGATGACAACCATCTTTCCCTTGTCCTTTCGCCACTGTTGACGGTTGGTGGACTCCATGCGGGCCCACCTGTATCTCGGTCCCACGGGTTTGATCGCCGGGAAGAGACCGAGGGACCGAGCTTTAGTGCAGTATCCCGTGGGAATTACAAGTTTCATAGGAAGAAACTAGCTGAGCTTCGAATACGCAAGAGGGGGAGAGAGTAGGAAACTATGCACTTCTAGAGAGAAACGGAATTGCGATGTGAATTGGAGAGATGGGCCTTAGAAATAGCGAAGTTGAATAGAAATTAAATTAATTTTATTTTTCAAACCATAAATTATTGATGAGTTATTTATTTATGAACGAAAACAATAAAGAGAAAATGCAAATATCACTATATCAGCAGTTGTTTTTGATGGTATGCGACCTGGATGCTTCTAGTTATAGGGCAGTTCGGATGCCTGTTGCCGAGTAGGTTGTTTGAATTACAAGGAAAGGGAGGTATTAGAGAACCACGTTGGTTAAGTCAATAATAATATATGCGAGTTGAGAGTTTGAGAACAAGGAAAGATAGAATGTACTAAATCGTGTGTACCTGGGTCTTGGAGGGGTTGATGCCCTTATATAGTTAAGTTATCGTGGGTCTCACGAAACAACTCCAGGATCCTCGACTCGTGCAGATGAGATCTGTTTCCGCTTTAGAAGGAGAGTAACGTATCAGTCAATGAAGCCTATCGTTACCATCCGATTCGAGCAGGGAGAAGATAAAACTTGTCGTTATGCGGCATGATCTCAAGAGATTCGAAGTCCGCTAAGAAGCTTCTGGAGTTGATTACGTGTCACTTCGGTACTTGGGTGTCGAACTAGCTATGGTGCTGAGGTGGCTCTATGCCAAGGTGCCCGAACACCCAAGCTCCCGAACTGCTGACTAGGCTCCCCTTATCAAGTTGTCATCCTGCTGGTAGGTCGTGTCCACGTGACCTTTACTTACTAGGTCAGGCCAAATCACCCCTCATCAGTTTTGATTGATTAGAGGGAAGGGCTTCAGCTTTCATTGAGTAGAGAAGCTGCTCTGAATAAGCTATTAAAATTAGTTTCAGTTAAAATAGAGCGTATAAGGGTTTTTGGGATTTTCAATCAAACATTTCTAACTGAAATCCAAGCCCTCCCAAAAATGGGTTGAGGAGTTGCTACTAAGGTTGCTTATCAAAGCTGATTTATGAATGGAAAACCAGAATAATTTTTCTCTCTACTAATGGTGAGTTGATAGCAGTTAAGTCACTTCTCTCTATCACTCCAAATAATCTCTAACAAATATCTACACATCTATCTAATCATGTATATCAAATAGTATTTGCGTTGGATTCTATAATCGTTATAAAAAATTAAATCTGAATATCATATATCATATATAATTATTTGGGTAATTGTTTAAAACTCACCATGACCTTTTCAGTATTTCTCTTAAGCTCACCATAACTTTTCAAATATGTCTAAAACTCACTGACAAAACTCACCATGTTAGTGACTTTTTATTTTCCAAAGCTCACCTTCCGTTAAAGCACTATTAATATTCACTAATAGAAATTGTCTACATCAGCATAATACAATTCTCATGATCAAATTACCCCTAACTGGCGAATTAGAGAAAGAATGGTTCATTTTGGGTAGCTTCTCTCTCTCTCCAACAGGCGTCTGAAATTGTCACTATCAATCAGATGTTGAATCTCAATAGCTCTGGTAATATATCCTAGCGAAGGATTTCAGTGTTTTTTCTTCAAAGAACAAGAATTTCTTGACCTTGCAAGACCTTTTGGAGCCTTAAGGATTCCCCAAAGTCTAAAAATCATGTTACAATAGGAATTGGAAAATCTATTTTGGATTAAGGCAAAGTCATCCTCGCTTTTTTTTAAGGGTAAATTTCTTAAACTACCCTTATGGTTTAGTTAATTGACTAAGTGTACCCTTACTGTTTGAAAATTGACTAACACTACCCTTACTGTTTTTGACAATTGACTAACTCTACCCCTATTATTAACGTCCATTAATGCTCTATCACAATCTATGCACATGTGATCCCACGTGACCTATACAATTTTTTTAAAACCCAATATTGCCCTCTTACCCTGAGCCCCCACCCTCTCTCTTGTAAGACCTCCCCCTTTGCCTCTATCTCTCTCTAGTCTCTCTCTCCATTCTCAACATCTCATTTCTCTCTCCCCTTTGCCCTTCTGTTTTCGTTTGAAGAGGGTTCATCACCGTCGCCAAAGCGAGAAGGGTGTGCCGCTGGTTTGCCGCTGTGTGCAGTTGTGTCTTCATCTCCACCTCTTCTCTCTCTGGTCTCTCTCTCTCTCTCTCCATTCTCAACCTTTCGTCTCTCTCTCCCCTCTGCCCCTCTGTTTTCGTTCAAAGAGGGCTCATCGCCGCCGCCGAAGCGAGAAGGGGGTGCCACTAGTTTGCCACAGTGTGCAGTTGCGTCTTCACCTCTGCTTCTGTCTCTCTCTGGTCTCTCTCTCCATTCTCAACCTCTCATCTCTCTCTCCCCACTGTCTCTCTGTTTTCGTTCGAAGAGGGCTCATCGCCACTGCCGGAGTAAGAAGGGGGTGCCGCTGGTTCGCCGCAGTGTGCAGTTGTATCTTCACCTCTGCCTCTGTCTCTCTCAGGACGCCATTAATGAAGAACTTGAGGTGGGTCGAGTATAGGAGCTTGATGCACATGTCAATGAAAGCTCCAATTTCAACCACATAAAGCTCCGTGTACTTGAGCCTCCCGTCGAATCTTGGTACAGGGTTCCAAACCCTAACCTTGAACCCTTTTGGGTTCTTTACATACCTCACCATCGAGCTCCATATGTGCCAGATCCCAACCAGAAGAAACAACGTCCCTGGCAAAATGTGACCCTTGAATGATCCCATCTCTCCAACTCACCCACTTCAACCACTAATAAACTTTGATCTCTAAGCTTATTTATTCTTCTTTCCTACTCGTGATGGAAGATCAAAATCCCTATTTTCTGCAGCCCAACTGCCGACGTAGTGTTAATCCAATTTTTCCTATTACAACGACAAAGATTTCAAGGTTTCTGCTCTCTATTTAAAATCATGTGACCAAAATTTTCAAGAATCAAACTTCTACCTTAGATTTTAAACCGAACACATGAACAAAAATTCCAAAATTCTTTTGCTCTATTTTCTAGGTTTTTTTGTCACGAATACTAAGACCTCATCAATTTTTCTGTTCGAATGCTAAAGAAATCATCAAAAAAGACAAGATTTCTTTCCCCTTTTCTGTTTTATTTTGAAAATTTGAAGACGAATAAAAGGTGAAATAGTCTTTTTGCCTTTCTGTTAATGGACCTTAAAACAAGGGTAGAGTTAGTCAATTGTTAGAAATAGTAAGGGTAGTGTTAGTCAATTTTCAAACAGTAAGGGTACACTTAGTCAATTAACTAAACCATAAGGGTAGTTTAAGAAATTTACCCTTTTTTTTAACTAAGTGCAAACAAACTGCTACAAATTGAAAGTAGACCCAATGGCTCAATCTTCCATGGAGAAACCCTATTATGCCGATTTGTCTCAAGATCATAATCCCACCTCACCAATAGGCATCTCCATTTTGAGCAAGGCCATCTAATAGGATCCATATCATTTTACCAGACCAATATCTTCAGTTTCAAACCTCATTTTTAACTTCTTTCCAATAGAAAATGGTTGATTAAGGCTTTTTTGATATTTACGGAAAGGAACTATGAACTCAGGCTGGCTTTTCCTTGGGTTATAATAAATGTTGAATACACTCTTTGTGGACATAGCACTGGCCACAACCGTAAGAGTCCCCCATTCATGATCTGGTTACAGAGAACTGCAAAAGGAATACCACCTTTCACTTGAGCAACTCTCCGGATTCCCAATCTCAATTCCCTAAAGAGTAGCTTCTTCTTATTGACAAATGCACTCCATCCAATTATAAGTAAATGTCTCCGTGGCTGACGCCTGTAGATGTGCCAAAACTTCCACTCTAGACCATGTAAATCTTTTGCTAGAAGCTATTGGGATGGCCTTTGTTGCTTATAATCTAGAGGGGGAAGTAGTCTTCGGTAGCTTGTCGAGGAATGGAGAACCCTCAATTAGTGCTCATATCAGAAGCAGTGAGGGTTTTGCAGAACATGTGAGGCGTTGTCAGCTAGGCCGAACCTTCAATTTCTTTGTCTTCACCATCAACTTCCATATCTCCTCTCAACAGTTTCTTCTCAATCTCAGTTTTAGGAAGCAAGGAGACCTGTGCTCATATCACAATGTTTGAAATTGTAACTGTTCAAGGTGCCTTCTCTGAACCAGCACCTACCTTTTGTTCATACCTCTTCATAAACTATTTAAGGAGCATGAATCAGACTTCAAAAACACACATTTTCAAAATCCACTTTCTCTCTCTCTCTCTCTCTCTCTCTCAGTCCGGTCTGCTACAGTATCACATAAGGTTTATCCGGAGATTCTTCAACTTTGCTGGTTGCAGATTCTCGCCCAAGGCTCTATTGTATCATGGGAACGGATTTGCCTGTAACCCAACAGCAAATTCAGTGAAACTGAGTGGGGGCAAATAACGTTCTAAAGACAGTGTCTTCAGACGCGCCTCAGAGCTTCTCATCCAAAGTTATAGTGACCCCATTTTCCAACAATTTTAGAACGTTATTCTACAATGAAGGCGGAAGTAAGCATGACTTCGATCAAGATGATGAACCAAGATCTTGTTCAACTAGACCAGTTCGATGGAGCAAACTTCAGCCGATGGCAAGACAAGATGATCTTCTTTCTAACCACACTAAAACTATACTATCTGCTGGACCCGAATCTGCAATCACTTCCTGAACCCATTGGCAAAGACTCAGAAAAACTAAAGAAGGAAAGAGCAAAATGAGAAGAAGACCCACTTCTCTACCAAGGACACATACTGAATGCCTTATCAGACCAGCTCTACAACTTCTACAAGGAACTTACATCTCCAAAAGAAATCTGGAAGGCCCTGGAATTCAAATACAAGGTGCAAGAAGCAGGTACGAGTAAGTATCTTATTACAGAATACTTTGACTTCACAATGAACGACCATAAACCCATACTGGAGCAAGTTCATGAACTACAGGTGATAGTCAACAAAATTTGATCCCTTGACATCACCCTTCCTGAATCTTTCCAAGTGGGAGCAATCATTGCCAAACTTCCACCCTCTTGGAAGCATTGCAGAAAGAAGCTTCTACACAAGGCTAAAAAAC